GCTTCATTGCTGCTGGTCAAGAACACATGGTATGTAAACTTAATTCTAGAAGTTGGAACATAAGTTTTGACTCTGCTGTCAAATCGTTTGACTTCAAGCAGAATCCGGATGAGCCCTGTATTTACAGAAAGTCCAGTGAGGATAAGGTTACTTTCTTCGTTTTGTATGTAAATGACATTCTACTCATTGGGAATGATGTAGGAATGTTAACTACGGTGAAAGTATGGCTTCCGCAGCAATTCTCCAGGAAAGATCTTAGAGAAGCCTCCTATATATTGGGTCTTCGACTCTATAGAGATAGATCGAAGCGGATAATAGGATTATCCCAATCTGCTTACATTGACAAAATTGTCAAGAGATACAGCATGGAGAACTCCAAGAAAGGAAATGTTCCTTTCAGGCACAGAGTGACTCTCTCCTAAAAGATGTCTCCCAAGACCTCTGAGGAGACTGAGGGCATGAAGGACATTCCCTATGCCTCTGCCGTAAGGAGCATCTTGTATACCATATTGTGCACTCGCCCGGACATTGTTCAAGTAGTGAGTGTGGTAAGCAGATTTCAGGCCAACCCAGGGCAAGAGCACTGGACTGCTATGAAAAACATACTCAAGTACCTTCGAAGGACAAAAGAGTTTTGTCTTGTTTTCGATGGTAGCTCACTACAGATCCAAGAGTATACTGATGCCAATTTCCAGTTGGATCCCGATGATAGAAAGTCTACATCTGGATATGTTTTCATGATAGGATCATGTGTTGTTTGTTGGAAAAGTAGCAAACAGGGGTCCACCGCAAACTCTACAATCGAAGCCAAATACATTGCTGCAACCGAGGCAGCCAAAGAAGCCATGTGGATGAAGAAGTTCATTCACGAGTTGGGAGTAGTTCCATCCAGCACATCACCCATCCCGTTGTTGGGTGACAACAATGGAGCAATTGGTCAAGCTAAGGAGCCACGAGACCACTCGAAGTCAAAGCACATCGAGAGGAAGTACCACGTACTGCGAAAGATTGTTGGTAGAGGGGACATTCTGATTTAGAAGGTAGCGTCAGTAGAAAATGTAGCAGACCCATTGACGAAGCCACTATCACAGAAAGTGTTTGAGAAACACGTGGAAAGAATGGGACTCCGACTTATACCAGATTGGACCTAAGTGCAAGTGGGAGCTATTAGACAATCTTTGTATGCCCATAGCTTCAATCAGAATGATGTATTTTTGACATTTATTGTAAATGAATAAAGTGCATATTTGATTCATGTTCTTGTGGTTTGTTTCTATGTTATACCCTTAAATTGGACACTTAATGAGACTCGTGTTAGTTTAGAATGTTCA